CAACTGCCAAAGATTTTTCATTCTCCTAGTTGGGTTTTTTAATCAGCCCCAAAAAGGAAGTTGAAGAGGATTTATTATTTAAATCTTCTGGAAAGAGATGGGGTATTTTTGGATATATATCAATAGTTTTCTTTTTAAATGTGTACAAGTTCTTTGTCTTTATTTACAGAATAACCAATGGGTGGCATTTTATCCTGGAGATGGGGTGTTGAATGTGGTAGATAAGTATGTTGCTTCATAAGTGAGTTTTAAAAGCAGTTTTTACCAAACAGTGTGGAGAGATCTCTAGTCATCTTTTTTTGTTTTCATCTGGTTTGATTGTCAACTGGACTTTTTATGACTTAGACCTCTGGGAGCCAAAACAGACGTGGTTTATGCTCAGAAAGTCACTGGTATCCTTGAGTGAGACCTGGTAGCAGGTTCTTAAAAATTGTGGGCAACTCCCGCCAATCTTCTGTGTTGAGTTTTCCTAATGCAAAACTTCCAAACGGGGCCAATCCAGACTTTTCGGTAGATATTTAGGATATCGTCTGACCTGAAGGTTCAAGATGCTTGGGCTCAGAAGGGAATAACTGAGAGGAGAGGCCAATGAAAGCTCTCTCTACATTTATCTGACTGGTCTTCCACTATGTCTGCACTGGGGAAAGGGCATGGAGAAAAGGAGAAGCCAACAAAAGCAAAGCCCCTGAAAATGGCTCTGAATGGCCAAACACAGTCACTGGGCATTAGGTGTTGGGTTGCCTCTGGGTCCCTGGTACAAAACCCGCCCAAGTCAATGGGAGTCTTTCCACCAAGTCTCCAGGCTTTGGCTCCGGCCCTTGCTGAGAGAGACAAGACAGGAACCAGGGGCCAGACCCTCAGGTGATATGAACTGATTCCCGCAGATGAGGAGATGGTCCAAAGTCTCTACAGAATTTAGCATCTTCAATCTATGAAGCCACCCACAGCTGCCTCACTCTTAATTTACACAGAGAGCTTGGATTACAGCTGTGGGGCACCCAGACACACGTTGAATTGACATACACAGTTATCCCCACATACATATCTATGCATGGAGGGTAGGGCCAGTGTCCCTCCATGCTGCCGGGCAGCCCAGCTTCCCGGACGATTCATCAGCCCTGCCCAGTCAGTCAGCGCCTGCAGGGAGCCCTCAGCCTCTGACTGGCCAGTGCTGGTGGCCAGGGTGCAGGGACACTGGGCAGGTCCCTCAGTGGCCATGAGCCAGGGTGGGCAGGAATGGTGCCCCAGCCTCTGCTTGTCAGAATGGGCAAGAGGGGGGGTTGTTCGATGACTTCATGCTGCTCCCTCCCTCTGGGGCGCCTGGCATGGCCAGTCGGCAGACAGGAGCCTGGGCTAGCTGGACCTTTGGCCTGACCCAGCCTGGCCGCTCTTATGCACTTCCAAGAGTGTGGCCCTCCCGCCTGCTTGCTCTTCCCTCCACACAGTGGGACGGATTTTTATCTGCTCAGGACTGCAGAGCCGCTGGCTCTGTGCCTAACAAGACCCGGCTATTCTGATCAATGTTTCAGAGCCAAAAGCCTTGCAATGCCTGGCAGCCCAGAACGCGCTGCCGCCGATGGACCTTTATAATAATAGGAGGAAAAAATCCCTTTTCATTCTTACCCGTTCCATGTGACTGACCACTTGAAGTGGCGCAGAGGCTCCGTGTGCGAGGGGAGATTCCGGCTCGAGATTAGCTACCTTTGAATTATGCATCTTAGGAGCAAAAGCTCCCGGCTCACACTGAGCAAGGCTGGGAGAGACGGGGCCTTTGTCGTTCAGCAGAAGAGCAGAGCGTGGTGCTGTCAATGGCAAGGAAACTGCAGTTGGCAGCAGGGCCCATTAACAACTCTGGTCCAGATTCTGCTCGTTTACGCTGGTGTAAATCGCTTCAGACACGGGGGTCACTGAGATCAGTCTGCCCAGAGGGCGAGGCCAGCAAGACTAGTGAACACTGGACCGATCTCCATCACTTCCCGGCTGTCTCGGGGCTAGCGAAGGCTCAGACATTTGGGCCAAGCTCTCAGCTCACCTGAGCCCCGGTTCTCCCCGTGTTTCCCATGGGGCTTTGCCACCGCGTGAGGGAAGGGATGGGGAGGGGAGTGCAGGCAACATTTCCAAAGGAACGGGACCGTGCCAGACGCCCAGCCAGAGGCGGCGCAGAGGGTGCAACCGCAATGGAGCTGGGCCCACTGTCACCAGCGGCGCAGCTGGCCCCAGATGCTGCGGTGCCATCATCGGACGTTGCCTCCCTAGCTCGCGGCTCGTTACCAAAGCAGCGTGGGAAGGGCGGCCGATTCGGAGTGTCCCCAAGCCCAGGTGCGCGCCCTCGACTTGGGGCACTCACGGGCTCATCTGCTCAAGCGGATCCAGAATCAAAACCCCTGCAAAGTGGAGGGGTGTGAGTTGAGCCTGTCTCTGTATCAGCCCTTCTGCCCAGTCACCTCAGGCTCTGCTCACAGCCAGGCAGCAGACGGTCGGTGTGGAAAGTTACTCTGACGTACTAGATCAGGGCCACGTGATCGTCCGACGTGCTGCCCGCCTCGCGCGCCAGCAGGAGGCGAGGGGAGCTAGTGACACCGGCTCTGAGGGAGCCTTGGCTGAGCCAATACAGCTGCGGGGCAGGGAGAAGGATTCCTCTGTGGCTGGCGCCTTGTCAGCTCAGCTCCGATTCCAGCAGTTAAAGATTGAGCATCCCCTTAGCCTGTGGGCTCCCCAAAAAGGGATCCCTACCAGCCACTGCTCCTGCACCTGGGAAACGATTCTATGTCCCACCTGGCGGCCCATTGGTTAGCTGGAGTTAAGCCAAAAGCCAGAACAAATACCTGCACTGCCACCATGCACCAGCAGCAACCAGCCTTTGACTGACACCTGACAGAAGAAAATCCCCCAGGCAGGGTTCCTCTCAAACAGGATGACAGACAGGGGAAAGTGACCAGGAACAGTCAGCATGGATTCACCAAGGGCAAGTGCTGCCTGACTAACCTGATTGCCTCCTATGACGCGGTACCTGGCTCTGTGCACACGGGGAAGTCAGTGGCTTGGCTTTGGCAAAGTTACAATATAGTCTCGCATAGAATTCTTGCCAGCAAGTTACAGAAGGATGGATTAGATAAGTGGACTGTAGGGTGGATAGAAAGCTGGCTAGACTGTCCGGCCCAACGGGTAGTGATCAACAGCTGGATATCGGGTTCGCAGTCGGTGCCTCAAAGATCGGTCCTGGGGCCAGTTTAGTTCAACATCTTTATTAATGACCTGGGTGATGGGATGGATTGCACCCTCAGCAAGTTCGCAGATGACATTAACAGTACGTCTACACTGCAGAGCTATTTTGGGATACTGGAAGTATCTTGAAATAGCTATTCCACATCTATTGAAGCAGCTTATTCCTACATCCTGGTAACCCCCATTACACGAGGGTTAAGGGGAATTTTGGATTGGTGAGGTATTTCAAAATTTGGCATTGTGTAGACAGCATCAAATTCTGAAATAAGCTATTTCGAAATAGCATTGAAATAAGCTACTCCATTTGCATAGCACAAATTGTGTAGCTTATTTTGAATTAAGGGTGCTGTGTAGATGCACCCTAAGCTAGGGAGAGAGGTTGATATGTTGGAAGGTAGAAAGAGGGTCCAGAGTGAGCTAGACAAATTAGAGGATTGAGCCAAAAGGAATCTGATGAGGTTGAACAAGGACAAGTGCAGAGTCCTGCCCTTGGGAGGGAAGAATCCCAAGTATTGTTACAGGCTGGGGACCGACTGGCTAAGCAGCAGTTTGGCAGAGAAGGACCTGGGGTCACAGTGGAAGAGAAGCTGGATATGAGTCACCAGTGCGCCCTGGTAGCCAAGAAGGCGAATGGCATATTGTGGTGCATTAGGAGGAGCATTGCCAGCAGATCTAGGGAAGTGATTATTCCCCTTGATTTGGCTCTGGTAAGGCCACAGCAGGAGTATTGGGTCAAGTTCTGGGTCCCCTACTACAGAAAGGATGTGGACGCATTGGAGAGGGTCCAGCAGAGGGCGACCAAAATGATGAGGGGGCTGGAGCGCATGACCTACGAGGAGAGGCTGAGGGATTTGGGTTTGTTTAGTCTGCAGAAGAGCGAGGGGGGATTTGAGAGCAGCCTTCAACTTCCTGAAGGGAGGTTCCAAAGAGGATGGAGAGAGGCTGCTCTCAGTGGCGGCAGACGAGAGACCCAGGAGCAATGGTCTCAAGTTACAGTGCGGGAGTCTAGGTTGAATATTAGGAAAAAACTATTTCCCAAGGAGGGGGGGGAGCACTGGGATGGGTCCTCTACGGAGGGGATGGAGTCTCCATCCCTAGAGGTTTTATGTCTCGGCTTGACACAGCCCTGGCTGGGATGGTTTAGTTGGGGTTTGGGCAGGGGCTGGACTCGACGACTCCTGAGGTCTCCTCCAGCCCTAGGGTCCCGTGACTCTCTGAATGAGCAAGGTTCACACCAGGAGTCCCAGCAAAGCCTGGGGAGCCCCAGGAAAAACTCTTGTTTCTTCGTGTGTTGAGAGCCGGGTTTTCAAAAGCACCAACAGAGTCAACTCCCCAGTTCTCCCTGACTTCCAATGGGGTTTGAGTCCACAAGCCTCCCCCCTCCCCCACTGAAATCAGCAGGAGTCGTTCCCGGGACTCTGACGGGCTGAGGGAGTATTTGATCATTGGCAGCGCTCTCCTCCAACAGGGAGCCCCAGTCAGGTATTGCTGTTTGCAGTCCTCTGGCCTATGCACAGAAGACAAGACAGCAGAGATCTGGGATGCGTCTTCCTGGCTGCTGATTGTCCCATCTAGCCTTTCGCTGCTGGGTCGCTGAGAGCTGGAGGGTGATCGGGGAATGGCTGGCTAAGAAACGGGGTGCTACAAAGCAAGATATAAAATCTCCTTGAGTTCCCATCTGCTTTCCAGTCCCGGAGCGACACAGAGCGCGGGGGCAGCGGCCACCGGACAATAAATCGAGACTCTGCGTTTTTTTCCTTTTTTCCTTTCCACTATTTTAGATTTCTCAGCCTGCTCCAACCGTCACATTTAGAGATTGCTACTCACTTCCGACCTGGACAAGATTTAAGTATTGGGATTACAACTTAATACCAGCGGAGGGCTCTAATCTTAAGTGGATAATAAGAAAAAAAAAGTTGTATTACAGCACTTCAGACTATTAAGGAAAACCAGAACGGAGCAGATTAATGAGGAAGCTGAGAAAAGCAAAATTTAAAAGACTAAGCGTGGAGGCTCCAATATAGACTCAAAAGCTTAGGACCGTGTCTTTCAAAGGGACTGATGCTGGTTGGTTGCCTCAGGTTTTGGGATGCCTGAAATTGAAACACTTTAAGGGCTTGGTTTTCAGACAGTGCTGCACGTCCACCCCTGAGAATCAGACCCCCTCGAAGGTCTCGATACTGCACCTGTAAATAAAGACACTCAAAGTCCAAGTCCCTTTGGAAATGGCTCAGCCTGAGACTGATGGGGGAAAACGGGCCTCCATCCAGACTGGCACCAAACTTTCAAACATTTGGCTGTGAGCTCCCAGCAGCCCTCGACGGGCCCTTTCCGGACTGGCAGCCTGGTTCTGCCGTCAGTCGTGCCAGGACCCCTCAGGAGTAATTCTGCGGCCAGCCGTGCAAATGCGCTGGTGTGACATCACCACAGGCTCCTTCTTGTGCCTTTCACCAGACACCCACTGGTACTGCCGGACCTTCTCCTCTCCCACCTGCCCACAGAGCCGCTTTGCTCTCCGGGCTGGGCCGAAAGCTTTGCTGGCTCCATGAGCCGAACGCCCCCAGCGTTGCCCGCAGGTCCTTGGCCTCAGCCAGCTGGGAATGCCGGGCGCACCCTCTTCCCGATCACGTGTGTGCCCTCGCTGACCCCTGGGCGACACACCTTTGGGTTAGTTATTTACAGGGCTGACCTAAGCACGTCAGTGCCAATGCCCGTGTGAGCACAGAGCCACAAGCATCCTGGTACCCCCCACTCCCACGAGCCAGCCACTGGAAGGGCTGACGGCAGACGATGAGCCGGGGCAATGGCACAGGCACATCGACTGCTTTAAACTCACACAAGCAAAATCAGGGCCTCAGAGACGTGGCCAGGATCAAAACCAGCTTTTTACAAATCTCATTAGCAGCCTTCTCGATTCCCCAAGCCAGCCAGCTCAGTGTCTGGCCAAAGACACTGCCCGATCGGGCCCTCGTGCCACTAACTCCCTTCCCAGCTTAACCGCACCTCCGAGGATTACAAACCCGTGAGTCAGTTTCATGGCTGCTTTCAGTCCGTTTTCCTTTCTGGCTCCCACGCAAACCGGGTCCAAAACTCATTGGGAGTCCACCAGGCCCAGCACAGGGCTGCAAGGGCCAGACAGGAGTTTTAAAACGAAAAGATGGAAACACATCAATCGTGGATTGAACAAACGATGTGTCTTGGAGCAAGACTGACCTGCTGCAGCTCTCGAAAGCTACCATTGCTTCCTAGTGTTTCTTAATTTCCCAGGGACCCTGCAATTTGACAGGAGCCATCACCAACCAGCTTCTGAGGAGAAGGGCTATCACTCCTCCGGGAGCTTCAATTCTTCATTTTCACTTGATGAGGTTTGTGAAATATTATCACATTCAAAGGAACCCAGAAGAGCTCTTAGCCTTTTGTTCTTGGTTTTGTCAATCCCCCGCCCCCCCAAAAAAGGTCCCAATTCCCTTTAAAACATCAGTGTGGTTGTCTGCAAAGAGCAAGGAATACTGCGCAGGCCGAGTTTTATTTGTCACAGTGAAAACCCAGCAAAAGCGAGGTCCCTTTGAACCCAGCCCCTTGCTAGCCCCAGAACATGGTTTCTAGACATTGCAGGTCTCTGGCTGTGCACAGCAATGCGATGACGTGAAGCGGTGTCAGAAGGGGAGCGCCACACGACTGCAAAACGCGGCTCCCCGCAGCGGCGAGGTGATCTCAAAGCTCAGCCCAGCCCTCCGGCCATTTTTCATTCCGAGAGCAAACTGGAGCATTGGATGGTTCAGCTCATTGTGCTTTTTCAAGGCTTGAAATTGTATTTGACAGTCACAACCTCTCCACACAGAGCGACGGAGCAGCAATTCCTGGTACGAAACCAACCCCCCACCCTGCCAACAGAGAAACTCATCCCGCCCCCCGCCCCCCATTCTGGTAACAGGTGTTTAGATCTCAGTCAGTCCTGTTGTTTGGTAAACCCAGGAAACTCCAGCCATCGTCAGCAGAATGACCACCCAAGCATCACACAGGCACTGAAAGGTGGCTGCCCATTGGCTCCTCACACTCGCTGTCCCCTGCAAACTCCATGTCCGCTGGAGAACGGTGACAGTCTTTGTTTCAAGTCGGTGACACTCTGATTTGTCTTTTTTTAACTGAAGATTTTGTTTCTTATTATCGTATTTGCTTGTTCGACTCCCAGTGCCTTGAGAAAGGGAGCGAGCGAGACTGGATGGGGAGGGGGAGGAGGAGGGATTGAACCAGAAACGGAGTGACACTGAGAGAGAGAGGCACTCTGGGCTCGTTTTATGCATAGAACTCCTCCTGCTTGTCGGGCTTTTGGTACGTGACGTTCGCCTGCTTTGGCTCCTCCAGCGTGTAGCTCCCCTCGTCCTTCTTCTTCATCCGGTAGATGAGCAGCATGACCAGAAAGGCGGCAAAGAGAGCCCCGACCACGCCACCCACGATGACGGCTGCAGCGGAGAGCACAGGAAGGCACCGTCAGAGACAGGGAGGGAATCGTGCAGTCGATTAACCGGGTACCCGATAAGCACAAGCCTGTAGGTTAATGCTCTAGACCACACGCATTTCCCTCCCCCTCCCCTGCCAGGGAATTTTTCAGCCCAGCTCGGTCCTGGCTCGCAACAGGTCCAGGACCTGGCCCCGCTATGGCTCTGCATTTGAAGTGTATTAGGAGCCGGGCGGGCAGGCAGCCCTCACCAGTTCCAGCCCTAGACAGGGGCTGCTGCCTCCCCGCGCGGCTGCTTCTTTATCAGAGGCAGCAGCGCCGGGTGACAGGCGGCTGGTCCGTGAGGGGAGCTGGTTTTTAAACTGGCTCCCCTCGTGGCCCAGCTCCCGCCTAGCGCCCCGCGCTGTACAGAGGCAGCAGGGCAGCTCGCTGGCTGCCGGCCCCCTCCCCGGGGACTATAGAACAGTCGACTAACCCATAAGAATTCATGGGATTCATCGCCTGTTTAATTAACTGATAGTTAACATCCCTGGTCAGAGAGCAGGACTGAATCCAGCAGGGGGGTCTGCTGGACACCCACAGCACTGCGGCCCCCGGCCTCCAGCAATCACCCAGGAAACTCCCATCAGAGATGTAACAATAATAATTTGGCCTACCTCCCTTTGGGCCCCCCTCCTCCCAGTCACCTGCCTGGAGCTCATGGCGGGGAGGTGTCACTCGGGGAATTCTACAACTTCCACACTCCCAGGAGACTGCCCTGCAAGTCCCAGTGCCTTTCATTGCACCAGGGCCTCAAGGCCAGGAGCCAGGACAGGCGGGGGCGGGGGGCAGCTCCCCCGGAGCCTGGGGGGTTAAAAGAGCCTGGGGTTCCCAGCGGCTACGGGAGCCTCAGGCCCTTTGGGCTACCCCGCCAGGAGCGCGGACAGGCGGGGGCGGGGGGCAGCTCCCCCGGAGCCTGGGGGGTTAAAAGAGCCTGGGGTTCCCAGCGGCTACGGGAGCCTCAGGCCCTTTGGGTCACCTCAGGGACCCGGCCACGCAGGCAAGCAGCACTGAATGGGCGGCCCGGG